AACGGAACGTAAGTACGTAACCTTAACTTTACTAACCCTAACCCTAAGGAAAGTAAAGTTTAAGTTTCTCCTACCAACTTACGTTACCAACCTATAAGTAAAAATAAAAACAAAAAAAAAAGGATTACCAATGACACTTAAGTGGCCTCTCCACTTCTCTGTACGTGCTCGTCGGTAATCCACTCGACACTCATACTCTCCTTCGTCCTGTTTTCTGACCGGTGCTATCTTTAGTAGTGGTGGTTTTGAGGTCAAGTCGAAGTAAGCACGTGTTCCGAGAATATCGTCTGTGAAATGAAAGGCTTTGTATATCGAACCATTGCGAGCATCTAGACTGTAGATTGGAACACCAGAATCTCCCCGGAACCAAAGCACTAAAGAGATCGCATCATTTTCAGCTGGGAAAGTAACATTACAGGGTAGATAAACTGAACGATCTTCGACTGCTGTCAAATTTGCAGATATTACTGAAATGGTGATCAAAAGTATCAATAATTAATCACAAACTGTTGTATCACAATATACGAATATTTGTTACTGTTTTTCTTCATACTTTAATTTTTAGTTAATTATTACAGCTCCTAGCCTTCACGTAAGTCTTACCCCCCAGTGGCACAGCGGTATGTCTGTGGACTTAAAACGCTAGAAAGCGGGTTTCGATACCCGTGGTGGGCAGAGCGCAGATAGCCCATTGTGTAGCTCTGTGCTTAACTACAAAAAAAACTTTCATGTAAGTGTTAGCCTTTACAATATTTATGTAAATATGAGAAAATAGCGTATAGCTTTTTCAGTATTTAAAACCCTGTTCATAGGTTGTCTTTTTTTATTGCCCCTCTTGTTTTGTTTTTTATAAATTTCTATATTAATCAATAAAATATATTAACCTTCGGACTAAATATATATATATATATATATATATTATTATTTCGTTAAATGTGATTTGTGTGTGTTTCTTGAAAACAAACTTGTAGATTGACTTTAAAATTAATTTTTCATGTACTGCTCAATCAACTAAGCATATTTAAGCAGTTCTTTATGTTATCAAATTCTAAAACACGGAAGTTGCACTTTGGCTATCAACTTATTAAGAACGTGAGGGGAGATTATGTTATCAAATTCTAAAACACGGAAGTTGCACTTTGGCTATCAACTTATTAAGCACATATCTCAAAGAACGTGAGGGGAGATTATGTTATCATCACTCTTGACTTCTGAAATATAATGATAGTTGATCCGTTATTTTTTGAGTGTCTAAGTAATTAAAGTTAACTGAGCAAAATATATACAGTTTATGGTGGAAATTATTATATTTGAATATATTGTATTAGTGTTTCCGTAACGTAGTTAACGTAGATAAGTGCCTTTTTGATTGAGAATATAATTTGAACTCAATATATATGTATATAAACTACATTTTACATAGATGAAGTGCTCTAAAGCATAGAAACCTGATACATATAACACTAAAACATTTACCTGTAAAATTGTGATTCTGGCATAGCTCAAATTTTACCTTGGGCTGAAGTGGTAACATCGAAATATTTCAATACTAGCACAGACCCGCAAAATATTTACAGACAAATTCGTATTTTTATTGCAACAGCATTTTATTAAATACAGGATTTCTAGAATAATACAAAATAATTCTAATCACAAACACCGAAATCTATAAGTCCACTTCCCTTAGGCCTAACATTAGGTAAGCCTTTATTAGGTACAGCCTGTATTCGACAAAGAGAAAAATTATCACTCTAACTTGTATACATTTTTTGCTTTAGTTTAGTTAGGGCCAAACTTTACCGTACTTAATACTATCAGTAAATAAACGTATAATATTATTCTACGACCTATCTTTAAACCTTTTCAAAAACTTTGATAAGCTTTTAGTATGTTGTTGTACAAAACGTTTACTAAAGTATATTTTTTCTCTTCTTCATCGGTCCATGTTTTAGACCTGGGAGGGTCAGGTTCAGCGTCAACCTCTTCCTCCTAAAGTATATTTACATCTGCCTTTTGTGTCCACCGAGGGGAATCGAACACTTGATTTTAGCGTGGTAATCCTAAGACTTACCGCTGACCCACCAGGGGACTTGTACAAAGAATCGTTGAGCAAAAGTTTTGTTTTAGAAGATATTTTTAGTAGCAAAGATTACATAGACATTAATAAATGTTGCCGGGTTATTAACGTAAATATTTCATATTTATATTAAAACAAACAAAGAAATAGATGAGGGCATCCAAGAGTTAAGAGGCAAGTCTCAGCTAGTTTAGACATTAATAAATGTTGCGGGGTTATTAACGTAACTATTTCATATTTATATTAAAACAAACAAAGAAATAGATGAGGGCATCCAAGAGTTAAGAGGCAAGTCTCAGCTAGTTTTTAGAAGATTATTCTACACATGACAAATATTATTTTTTTGTTCTGTTTTTTTTTTTTATCTAAATGGTTTTTGTTTTGTTTTTTGCAATGAAAGCTAGAGAAACCCTTTATTAGAGAAAAAGTTTCAACATTGGACATTTCATGAAATAAAAATGAAAATGAGAAATTAACCACATAAACCCGAAAATATTTTTTCTGGACAATCAAATAGCAGAAACGACTTACATAGACGTTGAAAACACATATTACCTTTACTAATATATAACCTACACAAAAACTGCTTCAAAAATAGAAATATGGCAAAGGAAGAAAGTCGCCACATAACGTACTGAGGCTGTCCATTTCGCCTTTAAAAAGCCCTGCAAACACCGCTTTCAATCTAATTTTGTAGTGATTTAGAACAAATAGTCATTAAATCGAAACGTATTTTATGATCACTTTAGTTGACAAGGAAAACAATGCCAAAATGAAATTTTTTCAGGGAGGTTGAGTTTCTGCTAAGAAATATTCCCGCGAAAATTGTGAATAATCTTGTTAAGCATTGTTTTGCTCTTTATATAAATGTGAATTAGAAATTTGTAATTAATATAATTCTGTAATTTCACTCAATTAAAAAGTTAGTTTGTAGCATGTGATGAATCGCTACCAACATAATCCAATCTACTTGATTTTCTTATACTCATAAGTAGCTTTTATTATCCTAAACATGTAAAGAAACTCTGCACAACAGGCACTTTCTTACACAAATAATATGTATATATTATTATCCTAAACATGTAAAGAAACTCTGCACAACAGGCACTTTCTTACACAAATAATATGTATATATTATTATCCTAAGCATGTAAAGAAACTCTGCACAACAGGCACTTTCTTACACAAATAATATGCATATATTTTAAAGATATATATTTCAAATTACCAGTTTTTTTTTAAATACGTGATTCCCTAGATCAGTTGTATATATCATTAAGAAATATGTACGGAAACGGAGAAGTAATTACTATGAAAATTACTAAGTTCATATTACATTTAAAGTCTTTATAAATGCTGAACTTACAAGTTAGTAAATTACTTACTCAAAACTTTTAACTGAAATAAAAAATGAGGCAGTGTTTTTTTGTTGTTTAGCGCAAAGTTACACAATGGGCTATATGTGTCGTGCCCACCACAAGCATCTAAACCCGTTTTTTTTTTTTTAGCGCTGTCAACTCTCAGACTTGCCGCTGAACCACTGGAGGGAAGCAATGAGAATAAAGGATCCTGTAAGTTAATTAATAATTCATAGATTAATAAACCTGACAGCTCCGAGTAAGATACAAGTTTTAAACATAAATATAAAATGATATAAATGATCATAATTTATTTTTTATTTAGTAATTCTGAAATAATACGAAGATTTAAATTACATATATTAAATTTTATTTATACATGCTTTATTCATATACGGTCAGTAACATCGCACTTTCAAATTGCTCTTTAAATGATGGTAGAATTGCCTATAATCAGAATAATGAACTGACAACTCAAATCCAAGTCAAAATATATTTTTTGTTTGCCTATTTTTGATTTTCACACAAAGCTACAAGAACTGACAGGCCCAGCATGGTCAGGTGGATAGGGTGCTCGACTCGCAATCTGCGAGTCCCGGATCCGAATCCCCGTCCCACCAAACATGCTCGTCCTTTCAGCCGTGGGGGCGTTATAATGTTACTGTCAATCCCACTATTCATTGGTAAAAGAGTAGCCCAAGAGTTGGCGGTGGGTGGTGATGAGTTGCTGCCTTCCCTCTAATCTTACAGTGCTAAATTAGGGACGGCTAGCGCAGATAGCCCTCGTGTAGCTTTGCGCGAAATTCAAAAACAAACAAATAAGAACTAACTGCGATAGCCGTTTGAATTTGAGCTGATATTCTTTAAATTATTGTAGAATTGCCTATAAACTAAGTGTGTTAACTATTGCACTTTCTTAATGTCACGTTTACTTTCAAACAAACAATAAGAAATACAATGTGCTTTAATATTTTTATTCTTATTTGAAGCTTGAAATCGGTAACCGAAAGGAAAATACCCCTTTTTTAATAGAGGTGCAAAGCTTCAAAGAACCATGGCAGTGATAGAGTGATAAAATAAGATAAAACTTTATTAAACTGAATTTATTAGATAAAACTCAAATGCACATAAAAACTAGCAACTTGGAGATCTGTATTGTTAATATATTCGCAATTTGCACATTCACCATGAGTTTCTTACAACATGAACTCAATTAAAAAACTTTTGGCGATATTGTGATTTAAACGATTAAAATCATATATACTGAGGTCGAATTCATAAGTTTGCTTGAAGATTACGAAATTTAAAGTATGATTTGTTCACGTGTATTCATTATTATAGAAATATAAAATAGGGATAATATTCTTTAAAATAATCACCTAAAAAAATCACTATAACCTGTATTGTAATCAACATGTTCAAAACTACCTACCTAGTTAGAGCGATTGTATAATATGTCATCAAACGAATATTTCTACCAGTGTAAGTGGGGAAGTATGATTCATACTCGCCTGGATTCTTATATAAATTTAATAAGATAGCTTAAATAAACTAATCATTGCTGAGCAGCTGATTGAAGCGAAATTTATATTAATTTCTAACTATCACCATCGATAACAATTTCCTTCAGTTCATTTTCGCACCTACAAACAAACCTGTTACTGTTTATAGGTTGTGGCGATCAGATATCAGTCGTTAGCATGGTCTACGTATCAATTAGCAACTAGCTTTTATCCCACATTTTGTTTCCTAATCTGTTTCAGATTTACATAATTGTCAAAATACTTCTGAATGTTAATAAAATAAAATAACCGTAAGGTACCCAAAAAATACATTCAATAAAAAATGCAGAACTTAATAGGGCTATTAAAGATATAAAGAAGGTTGGATACGTTATATTTAAATGATTTTGAATATGAAATATAGCAAGACATGTGACAGCCACAGTTGATATAAAGTCACAGTGGAACGAAATGTAACAAAATTACATTTGAGCATTGTTTGGCGTTCGTAGGTTGCGTGATACCACCGA